TTTTTTTTTTTTTTTTTTTTTTTTCAAATAAAGCTACGTATTTTTCTTTCAAATGCGTTTCGTTTTTATTTGAAACATTTTTTTCTATAACAGTTTGGGAGATAATTGCATTTTAAATGAGACTGTGCACGTCTCACCGAGACTCTTACACATTCTATGTTTCAAATGTAGAGAAATTGCAAGATACCGAGGGAGTTAATCAGAGATTGAGAGTCTTTAATAATTTCAGTTTAGCTTTGTCAGAAACCGAACAATATTACTGGCTCGATAATTCTACCGACTAAACATTTTTTCATCACCGTCGAACAAAACAGTGGAACCGAAGGTTTCGCCGTAAGCACGAAAAGAAGCAAGGACCAACGCGCGGCGGGTGGTAAATCGCGTTCCTCGATAATTTCGTGAAACGTTGGGGGGATCGGTGACGAGAGATCGATCGCGCGTGCCTCGCGTAGCCGCGGCTGCTTAAACCATTCAGACTTAGACTGGCTGTCCGAAAGGATAAAAAGACCGCCGACCGATCGTTAATAGCAATGCCTGTGAAACAGGGTGTGGCGCTAGAAAACAGCACGAGTACTTCGCAACAGGATCTTCAGAGCTACTCGCAGCAACCAGTGCCTCAGCCACCAACGGCGACGTCCCACAATCCATCTGGCCACTACATTTATCAGCAACCGCACAGTCCTGTGCCACCGCAGAGCCCAGTCAGTATATCACGTTGTTTCTCCGGTATTCGCGCTCCTTTCCTCTGGCTCTTGCCTCGTTCTTCTGCGATTTACGTTCCACGTTACGAGGAGGATTCCGTTCTCAAGTCTGCGACCCTTATGCAACCGTTAGGCCAACCGTTAGTTACGGAATCGTCGAATAGCGTTATCGATAATTTTCGAAATTTTTCGCGCGCTTGCAGATCGCTACGATGGTTAACCTTTGGCAGCTTTCGCATGCCATACGGATGTTGATACTTGTAAATTTTTCAATATTAGCTTCGTTACTGCAACGGTGTGAAGAAATTAATAGCAGCAATACAATACTATTTTGCGTAAATATTATTCGCGCATATCGTGATATATCGCGAATTATTCGAAGCACTGCATATGAAGGAAAAGTGTATTGTCTAATCGTTTTAGATCCTTTTCACAACATCTTCGCGTATATTTCTTCGTGGGCTCGTACGCTTCGATTTTTCATTGTATCGTAAAGATAAAATGGATCGGAGGGAAAAAAGGTAAATGAAAAATCGAAGAAACGCGTTTCAGCGCCGTGTGAGTTCCCAATAAGACAAATCCGTTAAACATGATCGTGTACTTCAACTTGTTAATTCAACAGATTCACGATGGCGTCTTTGCTAGCCACATAATATCAGCGTGGTATTCAACTGCGTTAATAGAGCGTAGAGGAAAGGAGAGCGCGAAAAAGAGGAAAAAGAGAGCCGATCGATACAACGCTTTCTCTCGTCCGTTTTTCTCTATTCGCAGAAGTCGTCGCAGCAGCCGCAGCTCAACTCCTTAGGCTCGTACAGGTCGTCGCAGCAGGTGAACAGGCCGTCGCCGCAGTCGTCGCCCGGGCTGACGATCCAAGTAAGTGCATCATTCGCAACCATGTACGATAGTCGTCTCATAACTGACCACACTTTGGACCTCGTAACTGACCATCACCAATTCTTAGAATTTGGACTATCCCCATCACTTCTTGGAATTGAGACTATCCCCACCAATTCTTAGAATTTGGACTATCCCTACCACTTCTTGGAATTGGGATCATCTTCACCATTTCTTGGAATTTTGACTATTCTCGCCATTTCTTGGAATTTTGACTATTCTCACCAATTCTTGGAATTTTGACTATTCTCACCACTTCTTGAAATTTGGACTATCCTCACCAATTCTTGGAATTGGGACCATCTTCACCATTTCTTGGAATTGGGACTATCCCCACTAATTCTTGGAATATGAGACTAACCCCACCAATTCTTAGAATTTGGACTATCCCCACCATTTCTTGGAATTGAGACTATCTCCACCAATTCTTGGAATTGGGACTATCCCCGCCAATTCTTAGAATTTGGACTATCCTTA